CAGGGTGAATATGAGATTCAAACTAAGTAATGTTCATGAAAGTAATGTGTAAACTACAAAAAGGATCTACAGATACAAGGAAGTTCTGGCTTCCTTTTCTTTCTCAATATGAAGTCAGTGGCCAAGAGATCTTTAGAGCACAGATCCCACAGGTGGGGTGAGCTCTAATAGGGTACGGTGCAGCTGCATCTAAAGCATCTTTATCATACAAACAAATGGAAAAACATTCCATGCTCATGGATAGGAAGAATCAGTATCGTTAAAATGGCCATACTGCCCAAAGCAATTTATAGATTCAACGCTATTCCCATTAAACTACCATTGACATTCTTCACATAACAAGATAAAACTATTTTTAGAGTTCACGTGGAACCAAAAAAGGTCTAAATAGCCAAGGCTATCCTAAGCAAAAAGAACAAAACTACAGACATCACACTACCCAATTTCAAACTATACTACAGAGCTACACTAACCAAAACAGCATGGTACTGATAAAAGAACAGACATATAGACCAATGGAACAGAATAGAGAACCTGGAAATAAGACCTCACACCTACAACTATCTGATCTTTGACAACCTGACAAAAACAAGCAATGCAGAAAGGATTCCCTATTCAATAAATGGTGCTGGAATACCTACCTGGCCAGCCATATGCAGAAGATTAAAACTGGACCTCTTCCCTACACCATATACAAAAATTAACACAAGATGGATTAAAGACTTAAATGTAAAACCCAAAACTATAAAAACCCCGAAAGACAACCTGGGCAATACCATTCAGGCCATAGGCACAGGCAAAGACTTCATGACAAAGACAACAAAAGCAATTGCAACAAAAGCAAAAATTGATCAATGGGATCTAATTAAACTAAAGAGCTTCTGCACAGCAAAAGAAACTATCAACAGAGTAAACGGACAACCTACAGAAGGGGAGAAAATTTTTGCAAACTATGCATCTGACAAAGGTCTAATATCCAGCATCTGTAAGGAACTTAAACAAATTTACAAGAAAAAATAACCCCTTTAAAAAGTGGGCAAAGGACATGAACAGATATGTTTCAAAAGAAGATATGCAGCCAACAATAATAAGAAAAAAAGCTCAACAGCAATTATCATTTGAGAAATGCAAATCAAAACCACAATGAAATCCCATCTAACACCAGTCAGAATGGCTATAATTAAAAAAAAAAAAAAGATATTGGTGTGATTGTGGAGAAAAAGGAAAGCTTATGTCCTGTAGTGGGAGTGTAAATTAGTTAAACTATTTGGGAGACAGTATGGCGATTCCTCAAAGACCTAAAGACAGAAATGCCATTCAACCCAGCAATCCCATTACTAGGTATACACTGAAAGGAATATAAATCATTCTACCATAAAGACACATGTCCACATGTTCACTGTAGCACTATTCACAATCACAAAGATATGGAATCAACCTAAGTGCCCATCAATGATAGACTGGATAAATAAAATGTGGTAAATATACACCACAGAATACTAGGCAGCCATTAAAAAGAATGAAATCATGTTTTTACAGGGACACGGATGGAGCTGGAGGCGATTATCCTTAGCAAACTAACACAGGAACAGAAAACCAAATACCACATGTTCTCACTTATAAGTGGGAACTAAATGATGAGAACACATGGATACACAGAGGGAAACAACACACACTGGGGCCTATTGGAGGGTGGAGGGTGGGAGAAGAAAGAGGATCGGGAGAAATAACTAATGGATACTAGGCTTAATACCCGAGTGATAAAATAATCTGCACAACAAACCCAATGACACAGGTTTACCTATGTAACAAACCTGCACATGTACCCCAAACTTAAAAGTTTAAAAAAAGAATAAAGAAAAAACATTTTTAAATAAAAATAAATAAGTAATCCTTAGGAATGTGGAGGGAAGTTCTCTTACTTTCCAAGGAGTCCTCAAATTCTTTCTAAGGGGCTGACATAAGCCTCTGCAATTGTGAATTCAGCAAATCTTTGATACCAGACCTCTCTTCTTGGCTTGGGCTCCTTCTATCTACATAGAAGATAGTGCCATTTGAATATGCTGCAGACAACTCAAATAGCATTCAAAATTAAATTAATTTCCTTTTATTCAGAACTTTAAATTACCATTACGTATATACATGTGTACTTCCCCCAGACTCTAAGCTTCTTGAGGACAGTGGCCAGATCTTACATGTCTTTGTATTTCCAATGGAAAGATAGTAGATTCTCAATAGTGGTTGGACGTATTGAATTAAAGTATTCAGTATTAGCTATGGTAATGCTAGCTGCTATAACAAATGTGACAACCTAAGAGGCTTAATATATTTTAATTTTGTGTGCCCTAAAGACTGCAATATGGATGTTTCTGACCAGTGGGCAGTGTTTCACATGGTCATTTGGGACCCAGAATCATTCCATCTTGTAGGTCTTTCCTCCACTAGGGTCCTGGAGACTTCTGTATTCAGCGTGCAGAGGGAGATAGAGATGGGTGGAGAGGACGGTGAGGAAGGTGGAGGCATACTTGTTTTTTTCAGTTCCTTGGTTCCAAAGTGAAACATTTCACTTCCAAAACATTTCGTTGGCATGATCTAGTCTCATGGTACTACTTAGATGTAAAGGGACTAGAAGATGTTGTCCCTGGTGGGAAAACTGCTTCCCAGCACAACTCCATGCTATGGAAGGGAGAGTATGAATCTTTGGTGGAGCTGGCTATCTTGGCCACACGCTCTTATGGGACCTGATATCTAACCTATAAAAGATACACATTTCTCATAAGTAGAATGACCATATGTCTAGGTTGCTTAGAAAAGTCCCATTTTTGCTTATTTCCTTGACATATTAATAACTCCACCTTTTACTCTCAAAAGTGTCCAAACTTGGAGGATAAACTTACGTTGTTACCCTATAATATAGATGACCATAAACCATCTTATAGATAATCTATGAGCTCACCAAAAAGTTTTTCAAGGCTTACATGTTTCACCATGGGTAACTGAAGACCAATCTGAGGGCACAGAATATAACACAAAGAAGGAAACATCAAGAGTGGCATATTCCATTTTACATGACCATCATCTATTTTCCTATGTGTCAGTAAAATCTGTTCATTGAACTTTAAAGTTCACTTCAGAGAAACACATCCTTCCAGAATATGCCTCCTCTGTGCTATAGCACAAGCAGTGCCCTAAACAGAAAGGAGCAATGTCTCACACTGAAAAACACAAGTCTTGCCTTATAGCTATCTCCGACATTGCTTTCCAGGAAAGAACTGATATCTTTAGAAGGGCCAGTTTTCCTTTCCAAAGCCACACCAACAAATCAAAAACACCTATCATTCAATCCAAAAATCCGTTAGTTATAACACTAAAAACATGATCAATTAGGCCAGACGCAGTGGCTCACACCTGTCATCCCAGCACTTTGGGAAGCTAAGGCTGGTGGATCACTTGAGGTCAGGAGTTTGACACCAGCCTGGCCAACATGGCGAAACCCTGTCTCTACTAAAAATACAAAACTTAGACAGGCATACTGGCATGAGCCTGTAGTTCCAGCTACTCAGGAGGCTGAGGTAGGAGAATTGCTTGAATCCCAGAGGCAGAGGCTGCAGTGAGCCAATATCGCACCGCTGCACTCCAGCCTGGACAGCACAGTGAGACCCTGTCTCAAAAAAACCATGATCAATTAGTCAAGAAATTTCTTTCCAAGCATGAATTGTCACCTGACTTTAAATATAAAAGCCTATAATTCACAAAATACAATTATACAGACAAAGACTTCCTTTTGCCAATAGTCTTTCTTCATAATTTAGTAAACAAAAGTACAAGAGGAACGTTTAAAGGACTTGAGAGCAAAGAGTTTTCAAGAACCCAGGAAAATTTTGTAAGATAGATATAGCTACAGATATAGATTCCAACTACTAGTGATACACGAGTTAAGAGAAATTACTTAGGCAGATAGTCCAGAAGTCCTCGGTAAGGTTTATCTTTTAAAGAAAAGCTGCCCCAAATCATTTTCTAACAAAGAGCAGCCTGTGAAGTTGAGCTGCAGACATAGACAAGCACGCTGGGAGCTTTCACGATGAATGCCAGCAGGAAAGAACTACTACCTGGGACTGGACATGGCGACTAGAAAATGGCGACTGCCTCTTCCCTTCTCTGCCAGCCACGTGTACAGTAAGGAGCAGACAAAATGAAGGCCCAGTCAAAGGGAATGCTCATTTGCATAATAAGATTAGGGTGAGGTGGCCAGCCTTCCCCACATGCTTTGTATACGTCACACCTGATTGAACCAATGTGTGAGCCCTACATAAATCAGATAACGACTCCTCAAGCCGGACTATAAAATCTGGTGCCATCTGCCACCAGCCGGGCTTTTCCTCTCAGAAGTCTCCTCTCTCTCACTCTAGAAAGCGAGCTGTTTCCCTTTCCCTTTCTTTTGCCTATTAAATCTCCGTTCCTAAACTCCTGTGTGTCCCTGTCCTAAATTTTCTTAGCGTGAAATGACGAACCCCGGGTATTTACCCAATGTAGCCTCTTCATTAGGAAGCTAGATGGAGATGACCTAAAAAGCTTTGTTAGTGTGCCCTTTACTAAGTTTAGTTTGAGCAACTTGAAATCACACAGGAATCTCCTTGAAAAATAGTTTGCAATTCAATTTCACCAATTCAGACTGATTTCCATTTCAATTAGTCCAGAGGAAAGAGGCTTTGCCCAAATGTAGAGGATTTCCCCCATCTAACACCTTCTCCGGTTGAACCTTGTAAAGATACTGCTAAGAGGAATGCTTGATCAAATGCTTAAGCATTAACCATGCGCAAGGAAAGCCACTAAATGAATGAACCTTCTGTGAATCAAATTGATTTTCTAGAAAATGAAAACAAAATTGAATCCAAGAATAAACTATCTTAAAATCACATTGAGTAAAAACATAAAATATTTTTCACCAGAGCTGTAAAAATTAAATTAGCTAAAAGAAGAAATAAATGCTTTTGTGTTCCAAGGAATTCCATTTATTAGGACAATAGGTACCTATGAAGGAAACAGAACTCTAAAAAGAACTGGAATTGTTTCTCAGGATGATGCTTTGTGATGTGGAAGCAAAGCCTGCTGGAAGAGGGGAATCATAGTTGGTGGCTGCTCACAACTGGACAGAAAGAACGGGGAAGCTACCTAGATGTTCACAGAGACTGCTGAATGGGAGCTGGCTCCTTGCTGGGACAGGGATGGACAATGTGTTTCCCCTTCCTCTGTCATCCCTCCCAAAGTATCACCAATCTTTCCTTGGGTTCAGTTTGTTTCTGTACATTTGTGCTTCTCATATGGGCTGGTCCAATAAGCTGTCCCGGGCTCAGCAGCCTCTGTCTGTGGATTGAGTCATATCATGCCATGAAACCTGCAGAAAAAAAAATGTTGTGTCCAGAATCTTGTTTTATTAGCTAGGTAAAATACACTGACTGCTATAACAAACAGGTTCAGATTTCAAAAGCTTGACACAACTGTAAAGTCTAGGTCTCTCTCTTCCAAGTGGTGAGTCAGAGATTTGGGCTTGTTCTATCTTAAAATGCTACCATATCCAGCCAATTGAATGACAGGGAGAGAAGGAGCTATGGAAAACTGTGCAATGAGTTTAGGACAAGCCTGAAAAGTGGCACACATCATTTCTGCCCACATTCCAAAACTCAGTTATGTGATTCTTCTAGATGCATGGGGAGCTGGGAAACGTAGCTTTGCTTTGCGCACAGGAAGGAGAGGACAACTGTATATTGGCGAATTGTAGCAATTTCTACCTCCCTGGCTCTGCCCATCAATTCAGAAAATACTTGGCAATCTATTTTACATGTTAGACACTCTGTCAAGGACTAGAGTAAATGGTGAGCAGTACATTGCCCTTGAGTAATCACAGTCTAATGGAGAGAAGAATGGGTAAATTAATAATTATTATATACCATGATAAATGTTATAACAGAGACATTTGCAGAATCTGAAGGCACCCAGAAAAGAAGCAAGTTCAGGGAAGTTTCAGTTACATTTGAACTGAGTCTTGAAGAAGAGTGATCATAGCTGATGTTTTTTAATCACTTTCCACTTGCCAGGCACTATTCTAAGTGCTTTTTGTGTATTAACTCAATCATCACAACAATTCTAACAGGAAGGTGTTATTATATCCACAGATGAGGAAACTGAGGCACAGTGAAGTTAAGTCCCTTGCTCAGGGTCTCATTCTTCGCTAATGACAGAGACGAGATTTAGACCTAGACAGTCTATATCCTAAAACCACTCTTTCAACCAACCACACTGTACAGAGAAGCAATAGAAGTTCACCAGACAGGAAAGTGCTTATGCAGGGCCTGTGTCAGCATGTCTGGAACAGCAGCAGCAGGAGAGCACTTGGAGGTGTCGCGAGCATGCCCTGGTAAGGTCTCACCACACCCTTACTGCCTGTGTCATGCAGCTATGGGTCTCACAGAGTGAGGGACGACCCTTGCAAGGCAGGGAGGATACCAGAAGGTTAGGCAGACGGATCAGACCAGGTGTTAATAGTAGGTAATCCTACTAAGGTATGCCAGTGGCCAAGGAAGGTATCCAAAGAGGCGATTATTTTAAAATTTATGAAGATATTATTAGGTTCAATATATATTAATCCCATGCTGAATATTCATAACATCAGACTCTGGCCATTCCCGATTCCACGCTGACCATACACACTCACTTCCCATGTGTGGTACAGGCTTCTAGTGCTCACCTATACCCTTCCCTCCTCCTGTCACTCAAGAAGTCTCCACTCCCCAGCTCTCTATAGCCAGTAAAATGTATGCAGAAGTCATATGTGTTTCTCCTGGTCCTACAGCATAAGGAAGTGACCTCTAGTCCTTTGCCTTGGCAACCCTTGAGGCCACCTGTTGAGATGGCAGCATAACAAGACAGAGGAAGTGCTGCCCAGAGGATCGCCTAACCTATATAGGACTTTATGCGAGCAAGAAATAAGCCTTTTTTGCCTTCACCCTCTAAGATTTCTGACTTTATTTATTAATGCAGCACTACCTGGTGGATGTATTAATATATTTCAAGCCTCTGCCCATCACTGGTTTTGTTTTTACTTCTGTTTTGACCCTGGAACTCATGCTAAACTCCCTTCATTATTCAGCCAAGATTGAATCTGTTAAATCTAATCCAGTAGTATGCAGATACGATGACTTCTTAAGTCATTTATTAATGTTCACATTTTTTTACTTTTTTGAGATGGAGTCTTACTCCATCACCCAGGCTGGAGTACAGTGGTGCAATCTCAGCTCACTGCAACCTCCACCTTCCAGGTTCAAGCAATTCTCCTGCCTCAGTCTCCCAAGTAGCTGGGATATAGGCATGTACCACCACGCCCAGCTAAATTTTTTTTGGTATTTTTAGTGGAGACAGGGCTTTACCATGTTGGCCAGGCTGGTCTCAAACTCCTGACCTCAAATGATCCACCCACCTCTGCCTCCCAAAGTGCTGGGATTACAGGTGTGAGCCACCGTGCTCAGCCAATGTTCACATTTTTCAATGAAGCTATAAACAAAACTCCTTGACTACCACTTGGACTGTCACTGTCTGAATTTGATGTCATAATGGCCACAGAGTCTGAGCTATCTCCTAACACATCCCCTGCTCTAAGTGGAAATTTAACAAGATGAACTTTCCAGTAATGAGGCTTGACAGCATTGCCACCACCAGAAGTGGAAGCAGTCAGGTCAGGAGGAAGGCTGCTAACTTCCTCGCAGAAGTGTTGATTAGGCTTTGCGCTACTAGCCTGCTCGTGGAGGGAGCCTCATCAGTCCTCTTCTGAACACTGCAAATCCTTCCTTACCCTCCCTTCCCTCCCAACCCCCCTACACACAAACACACACATAAGATATTATCAAATTGCAACATCCAACATTTCTCAAAGAAGCTATTTCCAATGCAAGTGTGCCCCCACATTATAAGAAAACTACATTCAAGAAGTGTCATACATAAATTCAGTCAGTGGAGAATGATATCATTTGGTAAATTCCCACTTGTTTTGTGTGTTTCCTTAAAGAGAGATGTACACACATCTATAATTCCAGCTTCAATTTAACAACTTTCAGACGAAACACAGGGGAAAATATTAATTACAGGAAAGTGTCTCTTCATCTCTAGTACCAGTAGGGTAGTCAGACACCAGTCATAAGCATACAGAAAAATATGCTTCCCATCATCATGGTTACTTTCAGAAACACACACTGAAGATTAGCAGCAAAACAGGAACTCAGAGAAAACAAGGCTCAAAAACAAACAAAATGCAGAAATTATGTAATTGCCTAAAAGCCATGAAATCACTTAGCTAAATATTTTAAGGAATAGCATTACTTAAAATAATAATCACCCTCACTTGACTAATAACATTTCATTTTCAGGGCATAAACAAACCCCAGGTTCAAATGATTAGTAGTCCAAGTCAGATGCCTTGAAATCCACCCCAGCCCCCATTTCTACTCATATTGTTTCTGCCCATTCCTTCACCCCACCGATTCCCAGAGCTTCCATCTTAGATTTTGATGATACTAGTTGGAGGTATAGATTCAGATTACCACATAATTATCATTGTACTATATATGTTCTAGGTGATATTTTTATATTTGCTTTTATTTTATAAAGAGAAATACAATTAAAGCATTTATATATAGTCTTTAATATTTACAATGAACTAGATATATAAATAAATATACATTAACTGGCTTCAGTGTTTGCTCCCAACCTTTTTTATACTCTAGCTTTCCTATTTTAATCATTCACTCTAGCATCTATCACCCTTGGTCACCTGGAATTTATCTTCAAGCACTTTTTTCAACAGAGACTCATGTTAAATCTTGCCCAGGAAAATTGCCTATCATAGAATTTTTTTGAAACATGGTCTACAGAGAATATATTTCTGTCGCTTTCACACATAAAAGACAACCTGGCTGGGTATAAAATTCTTGAATCACAGCCTTTTATAAACAAAACTCTGCAGATATTGCTTTTATATAACTATCACAGAGTGGTGTGATTATAGGAGGTTTTATCTTTCTTTTCATTGGCATTTTGGCATTATTTTATTTGTTCCACACTGAATACAGGTTGTTGTAATTTTTTAAATTAATAAAAACAAATAAAATCAATAGATTTTTGCTGGGTGACTTACATTCCCACATTCTGCTGGATGTTGAGAGGCACACCAATAATCACTGTTGTCAAGGAGGCACAAACTCAACTATAGGTCACATATCAATGATATAAATGAATGATGTGACTACAGAATTTTACAATTTACAAAAATACAATATAGACACAATATTATATTCTCTAGGGGGAAAAAAACAGTAGTGCATTTGAAATACCTAATAAAAAAAAAACATCAGATTCCTCAAACTGATCCATGATCTTCCACAAGGCAAGATTCTGAAATCTGAAGGCCACAGGGTCTCACAACAGCTAAGCTGTAGTTCTGGCCTCCTTTAGGCTGCACAAACATATTACCTCTTTATTCAGAAATATTAGAACCCTCACTACCACCAGAAGAAAAAAGATATGTCAAAACTAAATATACTTTGAAGGAAGTCAGATAGAGGACTATAGCAATTATTAGAAACATACTGTGTTCAGACAGCCTGGGTTTTAGTCTGGCTATACCATGTTACTACAATCTGTTTATACTCACAACACTTCTGACACCAAGTGTGTGGATTTTTCCACACCAACGACTAATTTTCAACTCTCCAGACACCACCTAGGTGTCCTACAATTTAATTCAATTTTCTGATGCTATCTATGTGATTAGCATCAGATCCCATAAGGGCGCAGTCCCATAAGACAGCCCCCATATGAGATGCTAATCACAAGCCCCAAGCTTCCCATACTTCCGACCAACCAGCTATAAGCTGGGGGTTTCTATGAAACCTTCTCAGATTTGATAAATTGAAAGAACAGCTCATAGGATTCAGGAAAACAGTTTAGTGACTAATACTGGTTTTTTATAAAAGGATACAACTCAGGAAAAGCCAAATGGAAGAGATGCACAGAGCAAAGTATATGGGAAGGGACACAAAGCTTCCATGTCTTCCCATGTCATCTCCTGAACTCTAGCCTTCTACCACCTCAACGTGCTCGCCAAACCCTGTTAAGGATTTTTATGTTGTTTAGGGTTCCTATGTTCCATTACATAGGCATAGTTGATTAAAGCATTGGCCATTGGTGATTGAATTCAATCTCATCCCTCTCCCTCTCCAGAAGTCAGGGTGAGGGACTGAAAATTCCAATTCTCTAATCAAGTGATTTGTTCCTCTAGCAACCAGCCCCTATTCTGAGACTATCTTGAGGCTCACTGAGAGTTACCTTATTAGCATTATATAACTCAGGTATGTTTGAAAATGGCTTATGATGAATAACAAAAGATGCTCCTTTCACCCCTACCGCTCAGGAAAGCACAAGAGTTTCAGAAGCTCTCTGCTAGGAACTGGAGACAAAGACTAAAAATATATTTCTCATTATATTACAATATCACACAATGTGCTAGTTGTAAGTGACCCTGAGCAAATTGCTTCCTATGTGCCTTCATTTTCTCATCTGCAAAATCCAGATAAAAGTAATATCTCCTTGTGGGACTGTTGTAAGAATTAAATGAGTTAAAATAAAGCACAGTACCTGGCATCTAGAAAGTGTGAGTCAAGTATTTACAAAGAGCAAAATGAGTCACACAACATACAAGTTGCATGTGGACCTTCATTATTTGACATGTTCTCCAGGAACGCCTATGACCAGCAAGGTGGGGAGGGCAGGTGTTCTTCTTCCCATCTCAAGTCAGTGAAGCAAGCTGAGGGAAGGTGATGGGGGCTAGTTCAAGTCATGGGATAGATAGCCAAATTTTCCACACCACTGTGCTGTTTCCTACACGACCTTTCAAGCTGCCCTGCCATCAAGTCTGGTCATTCAGCGACGGTGCCACTAAGGACCTTGTTGCCCAAGTCCCAGGTGAAGATGCCCATAATTTTCAAGGTAAGTAGAGAAACAGTCCTTAAAATATTCCCCTACAGAGGCGGAGCTTGCAGTGAGCCGAGATCCAGCCACTGCACTCCAGCCTGGGTGAAAGAGCGAGACTCTGTTTCAAAAAAAAAAAAAAAAAATCCCCTACAAAATGAGAAAATCTTACTGCAGTTTTTGCTGGTTTTGTAAATGATTGTTTGTCAGGGACAGGGGATATTTTGTTTGTTCATCTACCTAGGAATTGTAGGTTTCTCAACTTACTTTCAAGAGGAAGGTGGTCCAAAGCCATGACTGAAAGTCCCACATGAAGATTCAACATTGCTATTTAAAGCAACCGCAATGAAGTCAAGAAGGAGTTTTTCATTTCACCTAGCACATTTGAAGAGTTGGAGTCTCTCGGCCTCATGTTCTCACAATTAATTGGTTGGCACAGTTAATCTAAATGAAAGGGAGGATTTTATTCTCACATCCATTAACCTGTAGCAGGAAAATCCATGAGGCTCAACACCTTGAAACATCCCCTCCACCCCCTCAATAGTAGCAAAGAACCTCTAAAGGGGAGAACACTAAGAACACGAGCTCTGGAAGCTCCTCCACCTTCCATCCAACTGAGCCTGCACATATGACTTAACCTCTCTGAGCAAAGTGTTTTCTGCATAATAGAGATGTAATAGTACCTACTTCATAAGGTTGTTGTGAGGATTAAATGGGAAAATATACCTAAGGCACTTAGCACTGTGCCTTGCATGTTTATCATGGGCTCCGTTATCACTCCATGCTCAAGGATGGAATCGCTATAAATCCTGCCATACCAAGCGATGGACAAAGACACTGTGCCAACCCTACTGGCTTCCGTCTGTTTACCTGAAGAATTTTCTGTGTCACAATTTATAATAGGTCATTTATGTATAACCTGTGTTCCCAGGACAAGCTCTTGTTTCATGGTTTTTGTAGAGCCCCTGAAAGTTTGACATGGAAGTCCTGAATCTCACCCCTATGATGAAGCACTTTCTTGCAAGTCTGGTTTCAGTTGACTTTTGACCTTCATTAGCCAAAGTTACAGAGCCCAAGTTTGTTTGCTTCTATGTCTCACGAGGGATTCACTGAAGAAATAGCTGGCATGGTGGCTTACTGACTTTTAGGTTAAATTCAGATAGCACATGATTAGAAATCTCCATTTTGCCCCAGAGAGGCCAGGACCCCTCAGAATCCCAAAAGCAAGAAAGATACCAGATCACCCCTAGGACCAAAGGGGCACCCCCTAGCCTGGGGTGTGGGAAGCTCCCAAGAGCACCAAGAAGGACACATCTCAGTTGGCCCACCTGGCACTGGCTGGTTCTAATCTCCAGAGGGAGGGACAGCAGAGGAGATAGGCAAGCTTGTGTGCTGGGTCCAAGCTGGCCATGAGCCTCGAATTGCCAGGATCTGGGTGTGTCTCAGAAACTGGAAATCCACCCCAGATGCAGGACAGTAAAAATGGCAGTGAGGGGTCCTTATCTCCTCCTGCTTT